AATTAATTTTGATTTATTTTAAAATTTTGTATTCTACAAACAGTCTGATGATACGGTTGCAGTTCTTAATTTTTTTTTTATTTTGATTGATTATTTAAAATACACAGATAATAAACAAATAATTAAACGAAGTTAATTGACATGATTAATATTTTGAGTCAATATTGTTTGATAAAATATAAAATTTTTATTTTCCCTAATGTATTTTTTTATATAAAATATAAATTTTGTTAATTATATAAATTATATTAGATCTTTTTTTACCATAATAATAATTGAACACATTTTTTAAATTATCACATAAGACTAATTTAATAGATACTGATTTTCTAACGTGTGTTGATATTTAAAAATTTGTTAATTTTTTTTATTAACTTATAATAATTTTATACTTAAATTTTTTATCTAATTTTGAATTATTTTTTTTATATTTTCATGTGGGATCCACTTACATGCATGTTTTTTTTTTCTATTATTTTCCTTTTATATATATTTAATAAATATTTTTTAAGATTTAAATTCTTTTTATCCACGTGATACAAAGAGTATATGACATGTCAAATCATTTACTTTCTTTTTTTTCTTTTTTAATATGTAATAAAATTTTTAACTTTTTTTTAAAAATTTTAAAATTGATTAGAAATTTACTTTTTTTTTTGTTTTTTCCTTTTAATTTGATAGTTTTTTTAAAAAATGATATTACGGATGTGTGGATGCCACATTCAAATTTCATATTTTTTTTCCTTTTTCGATCTTTTATTTTTTGTCTTTTTTACTTTTTATTTGCATTTTAAAAATTCATGACATAAAATTTGCAAAAAAAATCATCATTTAGATACATGTATTATATTATTAAAATTATTATTAAATACCTTAATTTAATAAACCCGAATGCTGTTATCATTTGTCTTCATTTTCTATCATTTTTCTGGTTATTTCCTTTTTTAAAAATTTTTCACTTCTTTAATTAAATAAATTTTATAAACGAAAAATTAATGAATGTAAAGATGATAAAATAATTAATATCTCAAGAGTTTCAATTTACGTTGGTCCAATAAATGTGGGGTTTTAAAATTTTCGAGATTGGATAGAAATTTTTCGTTTTTCAAAGCAGGGTCCAGTTGATTGATAGTTTAGGATCTTTTGTTTTATTCTTAGTATATATATATATAATTATTTTTTTAATTTTACATTTATATATATTAAATTAATTAAGTTATTATTTAATATCTTAATTTAATAAAAATATTATATTTATAAATAATTAAAATTAATCTAGCCATACAATGTTACTCTCATTTGAGATTTTTGTACCTTTTGTTTTTTTTTTAAATTAGTTAAATTTAAAAAATTCGATGAATAAAATTGAAAAAAGAAAAAAATTTTAACTCGCAACAACACATGAACACCACCTAGTGTTTTATTAAATTAACATATAACTTGAGAGAATCTTTTGCCCAATTCTTCCTTTCAGCAATTTCTTCTTGCCCTTAAAACATAATTTCCCTATTTATCCACAAATTATTCAATGGGAAAAACATGAAATTTTCATGCTCACCTTGTGTGGTGGAAGGCAACGGGGCTAATATAAGACTTGTTTCATGTTCAACTAGTACGGATCCCTCGCTTCATGTCGAACAGAAACATAATATAAAATTTTGACAAACACACCTAAGGGACCAAAACTAAAAACAAACTAGCAACTCCCTATAATATTTTCCAAGAACACAAGGCAAGAAAATGGAATTTCGTTAATATGAAAAACGAATTCAACCTTAAGTAACTTATATGTGTTCACTGCAACAGTTATAATTACTTACTTAAATGTCCAGTTAATGTTGGTGTTCTTCTTAGTTTCCCCTCACGGTGTTCAGAGTAAGATGATACATTATGAATTATGATCAACTCCTTTAATATATGTAAAATCATGGTTATTGTTCGATTAATGAAATACGAAGTGATAACTTCTGTAAACTTCTGTTAAACGACTGATTCCTTAAGCTAATTCAGAACTGAAATTAATGGAACTTGAAGTTGAATTAGGCTGCGTGATAGAATTGTTATTGTTCATTGCATCATTGTCAGACTGAAATCTCCTTTTTCTTCCAAAATGAATGAGTGAAGATCCAGGAATAGGAGACCTTAAAGTTGCAATCAATACAGTTTCTAATTCACCATTTCCATTTGGTAGTTGAATGTAAGAAAACATGAGGCTGGATCTGGCTACTTTCTGGGGCAGGTTTGCTTCAGTTTGATCTTCTTAGTTTATGGAAGCAGCTGTTTTAGATCGTGAAATGCTCTTCATAGTCTAACAAGTTGGTTTTTTTTTTTTTTTTTTGCTAAATTCACTCTATTATTGATTCTTTTCTTTGTTGTAACATTGCTACCACTAAATGACTGATTTACATTGGGGCTAGATGTCCTATTTCTTCGGTATATTGTTCCTTGTTAATCTATTAGCACTTATTCTTTTAAGCCTTCTAACTCTATTTCCCTAGCGTGATTAGCAAAATCCATCATTCAAAACACACAAATAGTTGCCCTAAATAACTAGCAAAAGATCAAGAACAAAAAATTGCAATTCAAACTTGCAACAACATTACACAAAATAATTGGATAGATCATTTCAAGGCATGTTCAAATCTGCAAAGTTAAAAACATGCTAAGGAAATCACACATTGCTGATGAGTTAAATTATTGCAAATTAAGTGTCCGTTTGGATTCAACTGCACTTTTAATGCGATGTGATTGAATTTATCGTATTATCAGTTAAATTTAAATATGATCCATTCAATATAAATTTTTCAATAATTATTTTTCAATCGCAGCTATAATAATTATTATTATTATTTTTAATTTTATCAACCATCCAAATACTTTAAAACACACATACTTTAAGGTAAAAGAACAAAATTTCAGAGTTAATTTCGTATGACATAAGCAAAAAATTTTCAAGGAAATTACATAGGGAAGATATTGTTGGAGAAGAAACATTGTAAATTAAATAAATATTTTATGAGCATAATCCAATCTAGCTTAAATAAAACCGAAAGAAAAGGAAAAAAACATAATAAGCATTAAGAAATAGAAACAAATCAAACTCACAACAAATTATGTAAACAAAGTTGAAGCTAAATTCTAAAAAAAATCGTACCTGCTACAAAATGGAAGCTAAGAGCACAAACAAACAAAGGAAAATTAAAGGACGAAAAAACTTAGAAGAACCTAGAAATGTAAACGTGGTTTTGTTAAAGCTAAACTAAAAAAAAAAAAAATGATACCTGCTTTAAATGTGGAGTCAAGAGGAGCACAAACAAAGACAAATTGAGAAAAAAAAAAAAACACTTAGAAGAACGTGGATATGAAAACGTGGCTTCTCAATGTACAACTGAAGATAAATTGTAATCATTTTTTAACATAGAAAACAGGGCATGAAAAGGCATGCATTTCATGTCAACAGTGAAAAAAAAGTAAATGAATATGAAATTTGTATTTCACAGTTTTAGTATTCATAATCGTGTTGGACCTGAAGAGAAAAGCATAATAACGTAAAAGTAATATATCATAATAAATTGATAATAATAAATAATAATTAATAATATAAAAAAAATAAAATATATTAAAATTTATGCAAAACGATTTTTAAAGTAAAAAAAATCATAAATTATCAAAAAAATCTTTATTATTAAATAACAGATATATAAAGTTTTTTTTAATTAAAATTAAAATTAACTAACAAATTGAGAGATCATCAAAAAAATTTTATCAAATAATTTACTCAATAAATATACCTTAAATTTATTCTTAGAGAGCTTCAAATCCGATCCTCACCCTTAAGAATATAAAATTCTAAATCATAAATATATTGATAAAATTTTAACTCAATCGAATCACAGATCAATTTCTGTTCAACTAACTTTGTTTTCTTTTTTTCTCTATTTTGTTTTTGGCTTTTCTGTTCCTCTCGGTTTCGGTGTCACACCATCTTGTTTTTCTTTTTTCTTTTTTTTCACAAAAAATGCAGCCCCACACTCTTTTAGAATAGCCTAAAACATAAATAGGGTTGGTAACGGGTTAGATCGAGACGGGTTTTTGCTCGCTCTGAATTTGATTCGATTTTACAATCATAAAATTTATATCCGTACCTGATCCAAAATTTTTTTATTTTTTAATATCTAAACCCGACCCAAATCCCGATATTGCATAAATCATACCCGACCGACTTGACCCGAAATTAATAAAATATTATTTTTTAAATATAAATATAAATAATATAATTATATATAAATAAAAAATTAAAAAATAATTTTTAATATATATCAGGTCGGATTGAGTTTGCCTAAAATCGAACATGATCCGACTCTAAATTTTTTAATAATATCCAAAATCAATTTTTTTTAAAAAAAATAATTTTATGAGTAAGGTCGGATCAAAACTCACCAGGTTCGGATTGGATTGCCAATCCTAAATACAAAGCCCATAACTTTGAATGGTTAAAACCGTGAGGTTGGACCCACTATTTGTAACAACTTTGTTTAGTTTTAATTATAATGATTTATTGCATAAGTTATTAAACAATTAAATAGGTAAATAAGTTGTCAAAACAAATATTAGATAAATTAAAAAGCCAACCAATCATAGACAATCAGATGTCATTTACTAAACCACTTAAGGGATTGTTTCCAGCAAATAAAGTATATAAACAGGCTATTGAAATAACGGAATCATTCCTACGAAAGATAAGCGCTGTTGAAGTTGTTCATTTTTTATTCATAAAATAAATATGATACGAATATCTGAATTGTAAGGTGTATTCAACTTGCCGGAAGATAAATAAAAGAGTAAAAGATTTATTCAATAATACATATGAGCAAGAATTTGATAAAGAAATGTTTGAACACCTGTGCGGGCGTACCTATAGCAGTTTTAATGTTTGGTCTACAACATGCAGAGAACTATTTGATTGGTTTTATTACTCTTTCAGAAAAAAATAAAAATAAAAAACTACACTTAGTTATTTTATCAGAAGTGGTAATCTGGGGATATGAAGTAGCATTAGCTGATAGTTGCAGCTGTTCCGACCGGCAGCCACCACTGCTTTATTCAGCGGTTCTTTCCGTCACGACCCTTATTCATTCTGGCACAGTACTCGAATAAACTCCCATCAAAACACCCCCTTACAGCTTCTTTCGATAGAAAACCATTCTGATCCTTGGCAAGGATATATAAAAGCACCCATTCTCCCTTGGATACAAGCCTTTAATTCAAATGGAACAATTCAAAAATTAGAAACTGAAGTGAAATCAGAATAAAAAGATTAAAGCCACGCATGATATTTATCCAAAAAAAAAAGCATTCTGAAACAAATCATTTGTTGAATCAAAAATACAAATTTCAACGCAAAGATTCTTGAACAAACCAGCCAATGAAGTCATATGCCACCCTATTTGCCTCAGTCATTCGCCACACCTCTCCGAATGTTAACTTGTCGGGTTCTGTCCGAGCATACTTGCTAAAAATGTTCTCAAGGTTCACTGGCATAAACCTGAAACCCCATTGGATATGAAGGGTTAAAATATTTTCCAGCTTTATGTTTTTAATGTTCCAAATTTATCAGAACTTTTGTGCTAACCTTCCTTCAGTGTCAAATGTTGCTGAATCACTCCCATGCTTTGCTTTGTGTATTCTGTCTATGTATATGGGAAATAGCAGATTTGGCAGCCACCCCTGTGAAAATTGTCAATGCAAAATCAGCAATTTGGTTCGTATATACACACACACAGAGAAGCACAATTACTTACAGGGAGAGTGAGATAACTCAATCCAAAATTGATGAAAATTGCTATAAAAAGAGAGGAAACTGGATTGAAACCAAGATCTCGAATGCCTGGTTTTAACATAGTGAAGATAAATTTTTGTCAAAAAGAGTAAAATAAAAATGAAATTAATTGGAGGAAAAAAAAAACTCATTAGATTGGAATCTGGTAAAATTTACCTCTGTAAGTCTCCCAGGGATAAACAATTCCATTGTTGTCTTGATCAAAATAGGCAACATGTTGCTGAAGAACACTCATTCCATTGTTCCGATGTCCTGGTGTTCCATTTGGATGATCCACATCAGGAGCTACCAGTGCTCTAGCCAAATCTGATTCCATACTTTTGGTTAGTCAAAGAAAAAAAAAATCACACATTAAATTGAGTTGTGAATTTGTGATTCCATGGAGTAGATTGTAGAATTGATAAAAATTGGAAGGTATAAGGTTTGAAGCCATTCCATTCACTCCAATTCAAACATATTGTCAAACTTATGCTTCGTCACAGGATATAAACATGGGTACTAATTATGCAACAAATGAAAATTGAAACCAAAAGGAACAAGAAAGAAACAGAAAAATTTACAGGGTTTTGGTAATTTTTCTTCCAGGTCATTTCGAATCCTCCTTTCACTAGTCAACGGTGCTTTGGGTGCCTCAGTTGCCATAGCTTCCCCCATCTTTTTCTCTTCCTTTTTTTGTCAGGTGTAGGTTTTCTCACAAACAATGAAGCTCCTTAAATAATACAAGAAATCCAATATAGTTATGAATCTTGATTCCCTGATATTTCGTAATATCATTTTTATGAAGGAGGCTGCAACTTTTTAATTGTTTAAACGTATAGTGAACGCATATCAAATTGTCCTTTCTGGTTGGTGATTAACTGTAAAGTAAAATTGCTTGTTTTTCAAAGTTAATTATATTAAGAGTGAATATAACATTAATTAATCAATTTATCATTTAGATTTTATATTTAAAATGTCAACCCTCGACAATTTAAAATTTAAATATTATATTAAATATTATATTATAATTAAATTTATTCATGACGTTAGGTTTTTTCTTAGATAATGTAAACGATGAGTTGGCGGCACGGCACAAGTTTCAGGAGATGAAGTAAAACAATGAAACAAGCAAAGATCCACCCAATTTTTCTTGACATTTTGGGTAAGATCGAGGGTCAACCCTCGACTTTCAGTATTAAGAAATAAAATAAAAATGATGGGATTCAAATCATACTATTTATGTTTTTTTTTTTTGTTATTTTCAGATGTTAGCTGCTTTGATAAAAAATATAATCAATTAATCAAAGAAAAGTCTCAGTCTGAAGCCCAATCAAAGGATGATGTGAAATCAAAATGCATGCATATAAGCTGCAAATGGTCAATTCTAATCTCAATAGCTTTGAATTTCCACTCAACCGCCCTTTGCAAAAAAATTGGAAATCTTCTCCCATCAGCCATCAAGATAGATGTAATCTAAAATGATAAAGTCAACAGACCAAGCTATTCTAAGAAAGCTGCACAAAGAAAATCATAAATTGATCATTTAAAGCTGCATAAAAAATTCTAAATTGATTATGTACTTTCAATTTATTTTTTAGTTATATAAATGAAATAAAAATTTTTTGATATATGTTTCATTTTTTTTTCAGTTAAAGATAACCTATTAACCCAAACAATTTTAGGGCTAGTTTAGCACTAATGTTGAAAGTCGTTTTTGGGTTCAAAAAGTACTTTTCACTTAATCTTCATAAACAGTAAAAATTTTGATTTTTTAGTTTAAATTTTTAATTTGTAAATCCGAACAAAAAATTTCATGAAAAAGCGATTTTACAGTCAACCACAATTTTTTTTTTTTTTAGATAAAATGTATTATTTTTAAAATTTTATTATTTTATACATATTCTTTTAGATATTTTAATTATTACTTAAAATTATCAAGATGTTGCAAAATGATCTGACCATTATAATTTTGATTTTATTATTTTATAACGAATTTTCTTTGTAAAAAATTTTATTTTATTTTTTTATAAAGACCGTTTCTTTGTTTTGTATTCGTGTACGTAAGGAATACTCTATTGTTCAATGAAAGTCAAATAATTTAACTTCCTAAAAAGAGAACAGTATTGAACAATGGCCAAATATTTTCCTTTGATTGAGACTGAAATCCTCTTGGTGTTTATCATTTCAAAGATCAAAGACTTAATACATGAGAATTTTGTTAAGTTTGGAATGAAAACTTGAATAGCAGACTCAGTTTCTCATTATGTTCACATGGTTTGAAAGGAAAGAAAACCACATTCACTAGACAATTAGTCGAATCACATGCCATATCCATATCTCAAGAACCATGTCTGCATCTTTTTAAAGCAAGTAATTGTACTGGAAATAGGCTAACAAGAGTCTGCATAGGCAGCCTGTAGAGACCCGCATCTTGATATGAAATATGGATTTAAATATATATAGTAGCAGATCTTATATATACCATTAGAAATAGTCGGAATATCTGGATATGGGATATGGAATTGGGGTGTTACTAAGCATATACAAGATAAAGACCAGATGCAAATGAAACAGAAGTAGAAATTTCTGGTTCTGGTGGAACTAGCATAGCATTAACTTAACCCATCTTCCCATGGCCACCCATGTTCATTTTAGCACAGTACTCGAACAAGCTACCGTCGAAGCAACGTCTCACAGCTTCCTTAGACAACATGCCTTCCTCATCCCTTGCCAGGACATATAAAACTCCCCACTCTAACTTACTGGCAATCCTGCATTTGGGATCCATGATCAGAATTTAGAGGAAACCAGAAGACCAGTGATTTGAAATGGGAAAAGGAAAGGGTTCTGAAGGAACAAACCAGCCAAAGAAGTCGAATGCCTCTCGGTTCCCCTCGGTCATGTTCCAAAGCTCTCCAAGTGTCAACTTGTTGGGTACTGTACGAGCATACTTGCTAAACATGTTTTCAATGTTCATTGGAGTATACCTGCAATCCAATTGCATAATAAGAATGGTAAAACAAGTTAATGCTTCGATTTATTTTCACCGATTTCATTCATTGACAACAAGACTTTCACATAAATTACTTATAACATTACATGATAGACTTAACAATTTGAAATATATTACAGTGACAAATTATGAAAACCATAAAAATAATACACGAAAACGACATGATTTAAAATTTTTTAACAAAAATCATATTTGAATTTAACAAAAATAAAAAATATATATTTTTTGTTTTAGGTTTGACATGTCAAAAAATTATTATATTATAAATTTTTTATTTTAATGTTAGACAAATAATCATACATGAATACATGAATTGCCAACTAAAAAGAGTTTTTTCTTACTAAACATGCTCACTTGTTGGCCCAAGAAAGTGCTTAATTACCTTCCTTCGGTGTCATAAACACCTGAGTCACTACCATGCTTGGCTCTGTGTATGTTGTGAATGTATATGGGGAAGAAAGGTGAAGGGATCCACCCCTGCAAAAAGGAATATTCACTATTTTTCATACTTTCAGCTTCTGTCACTTCTTTGCTGTAAATATAGATGCTTTTCCATCCAAAATCACGTAAAAGACAATGAAATTGAAGCCACACTCAAATTTCCATTTCAACATTTGAGTTCTAAGCTGGAAATCCAACATGGTAGAGAAACAAATTTTATAATCATCAGACAGCAAACTCACTGGAAGTGTAGCATAGCTCAATGCTCCATTGATAAGAACCGCCATAACAACAGAAGCAATTGGATTAAAGCCAATGGCTCGGAAACCTGTTTTCGAATCAATTGGATAGGCAAAAAATATTTGGAAATGTAATAGATACATAATTAAGAATTTCAGCAACAATGAGACATTCACCAGTGTAAGTCTCCCAAGGATAAATGATTCCATTGTCGTCTTGGTCGAAAAATGCTGCATGCTGTTGAAGGACACTCAATTGGTTATGTCTGTGGCCTAGTGTTCCAGTCGGGTGTTCTGTATCCAGAGCCACCAAAGCTCTAGGCATATCTGATTTTAAGTACGTGTACAAACACAGAAAATTAGCATAATTTCTTCATACCTTTGTACTCAATTCTGAAATTTCTATATAAAGCATTTGAGCATTTGACTCAATGATAAATGCATGAATCTTATTACTCAAAAAACAGGTTCAAATTCCTTTTCTTTCAAAACAAAAATGGAAATTTCTAATAAAAAGACATGTTAAGGTTAAAATTCATTATGAAAACACACTTTTCGAGTTTAAAATATAGGTTAAGTGATCATTTATACTTATATAAAAAAATAGTAGGTATAGTGAACAGCAACAACCATGGAATTTGTTAATGATTTATTAATAGAATGTTGAACTTTCAATTTAAAAATTAAGTTTCAAATCCAAAACCCACAAATAAAAAAAATTAAAATTCCAAAAAATAATGAAATGGGACAAGATGAAATACCTAAAATCGAAATGGAAGCTAAAACTTAAAAAAGTAATTTCAGACCAAGAACTTACAAGGTTTTGGAAGTTTGTCTTCCAAGTCATTTCTTACTCTCCTTTCATAAGTCACAGGTGCAAAAGGAGCCTCTGTTGCCAGTGCTTCATTTTCCATAGCTGAATCCATTTCTTCCTCAATTTCTCATTGTTTTTTTTTTTCCCTCTTTGATTCTTCTTCCATATAAAGTGGTAGCTTAGCATCTGATTGTAAGAGTAATATAGCTGCGAAGCAGCCATGTAAGGAGAGGTCGTTGGTCTGTTGGCCATGTGGCATAGAGATAACATGCTTTTCATGGCATATTCCTCTTTTCACCTAGCATCTGGCATCTTTTAAAAAAAGGGTCCAAAGCTGTCATCTTTACATTTTACAAAGTGATTAAAACTCAGCATCCGAATTTTCCTTTTCTGTTTTCTTTTGAAATATTCACAATTCTTTATAATTTTGGGTCCTCCCTTGGCTTATCAACTAAGCAAGAAAAGGATCAAATTCCAACATACAAATATTTTTCCACTAAAACTAAATTTGATTTTCCTTAAATATTTTCCAATGTAATTTTTAAAGGTTTTATTTATTTATTTTTTAGATATTTTCTCTTTTCACTTTAGTGAAAATGTGCCCAAAGCAAAAAAAAAAGCATGGAGGAAACTAAAATGGCCTTACATAAGAGTAGGAAAACACATGACAAACCCATTGAAAATAAAACGCAGCCTCCTATTTGTAGCCGAAGCCCAAATCCAAAACCCAAGACGGAAGTCTCTCTCTTTTCTGTCGACTTCACCTCCGAAGACCCGACAGAAACGGAAGAGAAAAACAAAGAAAAAACGAAACGAATGGCAAGTGAGGCGGCGGTGGAAGTTAACTCCCCAGCGGTGGTGGCGGCAGTGGGAGCGGAGGCAGTGGCAACAGGGGCAGAGAAACAGCCACATAAGCTTGAAAGAAAGTGGACGTTTTGGTTTGATAACCAATCAAAGCCTAAACAAGGCACCACTTGGGGTACCACTCTACGCAAAGTTTACACCTTTGACACCGTTGAAGAATTTTGGAGGTACTTTTATCAAAAACCCATTTCTCTTTTTTTGTCTATACTTTTAAGATCTGTTGATATTTTGCTGGTATTGATAATTGATGGCTTTTTTTTGTTGGATTTGTGGATTGGGTTTTTTTATCCTTCGAAAAAAGGTTCTTTTCCATTTGGGTTATCATTGTTGGGTTCCTTTCATGATGTGCTTTTGTTGTTGTTGGTTTTTTTTCTTTGGAGATTTGTTTTGTTTAAAAGAGAAAAGGGTTTTTTCTTTTTGGTTCCTAAGAAATGGATTGTCAATGGAGGCTGTTGTTTTCTAAGAGATAGTCTTATCTGAATTGTTAGCATGACTTGAGTTAACGAAATTTGTCCATTATTTCTATGACTCAGTTTATTAATACGTCTCCTCTTTAGCTTTTAGGGAACTTGAGTTGGTTTCTGTTATTCCATTCAATTTATTTTTGACTGTTTGATTTGAAAGGTGAGACTCAAATACTTTGTTATGTTTCAGTTTGTATGATCAAATATTCAAGCCCAGCAAGTTGCCTGGAAATGCTGATTTCCACTTGTTTAAGGCTGGAATTGAGCCTAAATGGGAAGATCCTGAGTGTGCTAATGGAGGAAAGTGGTCTGTAACTAGCAACAGAAAGGCTAATCTTGATAACATGTGGCTTGAAACTGTAGGCATCTTGAGTCCTGACTGTTATTTTTACCTATAAATATATATATATATATATATATATTCTATGTAGATGGGTGGTTTGTTCTTGTTTAATCACAATCTATTGGGATTTTGGCTGATTGATCGTTTTTTGTTGGGCAGTTGATGGCATTGATTGGGGAGCAATTTGATGAGGCGGATGAGATTTGTGGCGTAGTTGCTAGTGTACGCCAAAGGCAGGACAAACTTGCATTGTGGACCAAGACAGCAACGAATGAGGCTGCTCAGGTCTATATCTTAGTAACTATTGATATTTGAATCAGAACCTCTTTGTTTGTTGAATTAGGAATCCTATGCTGTGAAAAACTATCTACATATCATCTTTAAGTGAAATAGTTTTATTGCTTGAATTCTTAAGTTCATGAGCTTTTCTAATGTCTACTTAATTGATCACTCTGCAAGTAATTGCTTCCAGTTTATGTACATGAAATATATGCTGATACTGATAATTCTATGTTTCCAATAAGTTGATACATGTTTAAATCTATCTCTGATTGCTCATGCGTTGCCGAAAATTTCTTCACACTTAATGGGCTAAAGTTTTTTTGCAAAGATGGATTCATGTTTTCAATTAGAACATAAAAGAAGTGAAATTATTTATATTGATGTAACAATTGGGCGCCCCTTTCTGTTCATCGTTTGTCAATTTTTTAAGAATTTGACAATTTCAGCGTGCTGGCAATTGACCCTTTGTTGCTGTTGCACATAGGGTCATCTTCTACTGCAATGTTTCCTCTCACATTTATAGTTTAGTCTTGTGATATCTCCTCTCTTTAAAGCTCATATATTGTTTTGCCAGTAAACTATCTCAATTACATTGATAAAGTTTCCTCCCACAAGTCCTGATCACATCACCATATGCAATGCATAATTGGCAGAAGCACAATGAAGCTGTGGTCACTTCTTGTCAATTACCCCATGCTTTTGATGATTGATTGTAATATGTGAATTTCTTAATTCTGTGAATGGCATATGTATTGATGATGTTAATTGGAACCCTGTGATCTAGATGGGCATCGGGAGGAAGTGGAAGGAGATCATTGACGTTAATGATAAAATTACTTATAGCTTCCACGTAAGTGTAATTGGATTGGTACTTGTGATTTCGAGTGGATATTCTGATATTGCAACTTACTATTGTATGTTGTAGGATGACTCGAGAAGGGAAAGATCAGCAAAAGTTCGATACAATGTTTGAAATCTTTGCTAGGTATTTTGTGGGGCTTGTACTCTCTATTGCCAAATTTTTGCAGCATGTACTGTAATTTGTTACCTATTTTTATGCTCTGTGCTGAGTACACTAGGTAAGTGAAATATTTTGCATGCGATTTTTTTTTATATTGTAATTCCATCAACAATCAAGTTTTCAGATAATTTTGATATTCTACATAGTGAGGAATTTACTATATTCCATGAATACTTGATTTCCTGTCTCATGTTCTGAATCTCACATGCATATCTGTTCATTTTCCTGAAATTTTATGTAAAGAATTCTTGTAATGGATTTCACTTTGCTGGCAGCCTTAAGAATCTATTTTTGGAATAAATTCCTTGCTTCGCAATGGTTGATTCAGTCTAAATCGTTTAACTTGTTATGTTCATTAATGGTGGTCTTGTCCGAGTTTGATTTCAATGGTCTGAAAATTATATAGTACAACCAAACTGAAGGTCTACAAGTACGTACATATGAAGGAAAGATATATAGTTTTACATCCTGATTCTTAAGGAAAAACCCAGATGAAGAATGCATTTAAATCTGGATTTCCTTGAAATGAACTATAAATTGAACATCTCTGGTAGTCAAGACAAAAATACACGTGTGGTCCTCATCATGCGAGGAATCCTAGCCTTTCCCCATTCTTCTTGGCCAGGCGAATCAACCCTTGCCTTTGTTTCGCATCAGCCCCTATCGATTTGCAGAATTCAGTAATTACCTGAAAAACATTTGAAAGAAATAGAGGAATTCAGTAACACTATCACAACTGTTGGAAATCTGGTTCATTCCTAGCTCTGAAAACTGTCTGGTTATATTTCATAACACAACACAGTTGACTTGAGTGACATCTGTGATTTTTTCTTATCCTTAAATTGCAGTCTCGTTTGTAAAAAGCAAAATGGACATGATTATGGACATGGGTCAGTTCCATTTTCAAACATAAGGCAGAGAATTGCCGAAACTTTTCTACATGTTTTCAAATCTCGATATTTCTCAACTAAGTAAAGTAAAGTAAAGAGGTAGGAACAGGAAATGGTACCTGCGAATGCAAGGCAATTGCTTTTCCTCTGAGCTGATTGAACCTTTTTTTGCCAATAATCTGACGTGTAACAACCACAATAGGAGCAAACAGACCTTTCCCTTCATTGATGTTCTTCATCATAGGCTTCATAATAGGCTGTGCTCTAACAGGCTTTCCAACTCGAACATGGTTGGGAACTGACTTGGCCAGCATGGCATAGTCTTCACCAACTACTGAAGTACCCCAACTTCCATGGAAGCAAGTTCCCAAACCTCCCTGAAACCCAGTTGCTGAAATTGAAGTAGCCATTAACCACCTATTCAGAGCTTCCCTCTAGCTGCTATGAAACTATGTGATTACTAAAGCTTGATGGGGTTTTTCTCTATGGGAGGAGATGATATTTTTCTGGTCTAGGGCCTTGGGCTTTTTTATTGGAGAGGTTGCCGCCAGGTGGTGAGTGGAGATGTCCAATAAAGCATTAGGAGCCACACATACTGGTGGCTTGGATTGTAGTTATGGGAACACGTATATAAATTGCATACCATTTTGTAACTTATGGTCCCCAAATTTCCTGGAGAGGAAAATCTGGATCCGGGAATCTACTGGCTCTTGCTTGGAAGATGGGGATCCAATTAGATCATTCATAGGACGATCCTGACCGTCGAATTTAGAACCTTTTTAGGAGTCATTTTTCACGGTGGAAATAAAATCTCAAGACTTTTTGACACTGGAAGGCAGGAACTATGTTGAAGGTTGCATTCCAAGTCCCAACTTCTTGGATGCTACCACCTGTGAAAAACATGCCATTTTGGAAGCCTACCAACCGGAATACTCGGCAACGAATGCGCATGTGGAAAAAAAAAAAAAAAAAACTTTCAAAGTCTGATTTCTCTTGTTATTAGAATGTTCTGAATCATATAGCAAAAGTCTAATGTAGTTTTTTGTGGGGTATAAACGAATAAAATAGGGTAAATTTCATTCATGTCTTTTAGTTTTGAATATAATTCAACATTAATCTATTAGTTTGATTTTAATTATTATAATATTTGTATATATGCTGCATTCAAATTTACATGCTTGTGAAATATAATGATGACAAGTTTATTCATTTTAAATTGACAATCATTTATGACAACTAAATCCAAGTTAAAATTTTATACGCCTAGTTTTCTGTTCAAAGAACGTGTATAGACTGCTATTTTGTTTCAATTGGAAGCATAAAGGAATTTAGAATGGACCAGTAAGGGCAACATGATCTGGTCAAGTTGAAATTTTCATTTAGAAATCTGTTCATGCTGAGCGGAATGGATCCAATAGCAGAATATATAGGAAGGATTTCGAGTTCATCAAGACTTCCATATTCATCTAACAGAAAGGACAGCTGATCTTCAGCACCAGCGATTGGCCTCTGGTGTTCATGGCAGGGGCCCTGAGTTTGAGCAATTCCTCCCTGGTTTTTGACATTTTATTGTCGCCGTTATGTTATCGTTATGATTAGAGATGTAAATGATATATTAGTACTCGTAAATTATTTAGGTTCGATTCGAAAAAAATTCGAATTCAGTTCGATTATTATCAAGTCGAACTCGAACTCGAGTAGCTTGACTTATCGATCGAACCGAATTCAAGTATTTTTATATTTGACTCGAGTAGTTCGTGAGCCTAATCGATTTTTTATATTTAAATATATTTTTATTATTTTAATTAATAAAATATTTTGAATCCGAATTTGAGTTCGAGTTCGAGCATGAATAATCGAATTTTTGTCAAGTATACGAATCGAGCTTATTTTTATATATTAATCGAACGAGCTCGAGTAGCTCGAATTCGATTACGAATTGAGCTCGAACTGAGTATCGAACCCCGAGTTATAAGTCGAACTCGAACTTCTCACTGTATCGACTCGACTCAGCTCGATTACACATTTAATTGTGATCAAGAATGGAATATTTATCTATAATTTTTTTATTATAATTTTACAATTGTTTAATCATAATAAAAAATTATGTAGGGATATATCATTTATAAATACGAATTTTATATAAAATTTTAATAAAATATATACAATTCTGAATTATAATTAATTAATTATATTATAATAATTTAATGTATATAGTAATAAGTACATAAGAAACATTTTGGTGTTAGATTTCGAACTCAAACCATCAAAACAACTACATCTCCAATCATTATAACAAATTTATTATTTTTATTGCTTTGATTATTTTTTTTTTTTGGGCATTAAACAAACAATTGAAGAAGAAGAAGAGCCCAAATATAGCAACCCCAAACAGCTCCCTATTTTTTTGGCAATAAATTCAATGAAGTAATACTTCTTATCCAATTTTCCAATCAAATTGTGCATTTTAATTTTTTTTAAAAAAAAACCAAATTGCTAGTGAAATATATATGTAATAACTACAAATTAATAACTATCCAAAACCACAAAGGAATACCAAAGTTTGAATGCACTCTCCTCAAAACTTGACAACTCACCCATCAAATTTTGTTATATAATTAATTTTAGAGATAATATTCAAATAAAATTTACAAGAAATATAAAGTAATTTTTTAAATATTTTATTACATAAAATTAAAGTTATAAATTTTATTTTATTATAATTTTATTTATTAAATATAAAAATAGATAAATAAAGTTCAATTATTAAAATAACATTTGCTTAATTATCTAATTAATCCAAATAAATTTAGATAAATATTTTTTATTAGTTATATCAACCAAACAAAGAAGATTTTAACAAAATATAAAATATTTTTTGAAATATAAAATATTTCATAAAATAAAATTTTAACTGAAATAAATAAATTTTAATAATTTTAATTTGATGCAATAAAAAATTTATAACTTATTTTTATCTTTTAATAAAATTTGAAAACTTATTTAAATATTGTTCCTTTAATTTATATATATACATAAAAAAAAAAGTCAAACTTAGCAAATACAAAGAAAATAACGATACTATCGACCGTACATGAGCAACTTTAACATGGACCCCACCTACCATAATTTCAAATCATGACCGTTGATTCTAAAATCTTGGATGATAAAAAAATTAGATTAAATAACATAAAATAAAACCCATAGGTCCTATCTCATTTTATTTTTTCTCCTTTATATTGTTTACGTTCACATTAAAACAGGTTTTTTTTTTCAATTTTATATGTTATATATCAAATTTGTGAATTGTTTTGAGTGTAGGTTCTTCTTCTCTATACTTCAGTTGAGGTCAAAACCCTTTTTTTTTTTTTAAATTGTGACTTAACTGATTTTCCATCATTTTCCCTGGAAATGAAATCCTGCTGCTTTGTCACTTACCCTGATTTGAATTCTCAAGTTTCCTGGTTTTCAAATTTTCTTCTTGAAAATTGAAATTGCAGTTTTATTTTCTTTGTGGAGTCAAAAACAAAGGCGTTGACTTTCTTGGTATTTAGGAGATTGAAGGATTCCGCTTTCTACCCATTCAAACCCAGAAAAAAATTTTGAATTTTGGGATTAGATTCTTTTAATTCATCAGTTTTTGCTCTCTGGGTATCTGCGATTTTTGGGCTAAAGGTTTGTTTCAATGGGTTTCCCTGAAATTTGAGGGTTAAAAGGCTTATGAAAGTCTTGTTTTTTTCACCTAGTTGGCCTAATGGGGTTTATGATTTATGATAAAAGATCCACTTTTTTATCCCAATTTCCAGTTTTGAAGGCTCTTTTGTTCTAAGTTTATTGAGTTACAGAGTTAAAGTTTTGAGCAGAATTGTGTTGTGTGGGGAGGTGTAATTGTCAATGGATACGGTCCATAATGATGTTAAGGACGTTAAAGGACATAAAAACAAGACTTTAGGTACCATAGATGCTCTAAAAGTTGAAGATCATACCGAAGGAGAAGATTACAGTGAGTCATATTCTTTGTTGCCACCTAAGAAAGCTGTGATGTCAAGAAAACCTGAAAAGACACGGCGAAAAGTCCAATGGAACGATAAAAATGGGAATAAACTTGCAGAGGTTCTGGAATATCAACCAAGGTAATTGGTTTTGTGGGTTTATCTTCTAATGTATGCTGCTTATTTTTTTATGTTTGAGACTTTAGATTCTTTTGGCTTGGTTTGTTGATATGTCTTTTAGCTGATTTTGTCACTAGGTGAACTTTTTGTTTGAATTTGTTGCCAATGCTACATTGATGAAGCGTAATGAGGATAGCTACTTAATCATTTTAAGTATGCAACAAATGTGTGGATACCAGAAATTTCATCTTTGGGTGAAACTGAAAAGTAGTTTATTGTCATGCGCTTGTTTGTTGTATCTTCAAATCCCTTGTTTATTTTCTTTTCAGTTTGTCTTCAAACATGTTCTAATGTCATGCATTGGTGAGCTGTATGTCAGTCTAGCTAAATGATAATTGAAAGAATAGAACAAATGGGTACAGAACTGAAAATTTTATGTAGCATACAAGCTTCAATCGAAAGGCAATGTACTGTGCCATTCTCTTTTTTCTGTTCTATAGATCTATGATTGCAGAGATGGATTGATATGATAATATGTGCTAGAAACTAATTGAAAAGAGCCTTTGGTTTAACATATATTTGCTCAGTGGATAACATTAGGTTTCATGTATTCCTGAGACAAGGTCAAATTGCAAAAGAAAAGGATTACTCATGAGAATCACGCCAATATGATTTATTTGGACTTCAATGGTTGCTAATGGTTTTTTCATTGATTCACCATTCTATCTGTCACACCCTGATGTCCAATCTACGCCTGCAGTGATGTGAGCGATTCTGATGTTGAGGATTCAGATTCCTGCATATGTATCATAATGTAGATACAATACAGGACACCGTCAGGAATTATCTGCTGGAGAAATCAATTTAGGCTTCAGTTTCAACCTTGATTTTGATGATTTTGGTACAAGATAACCGTGGTTTCAACTTTGTGTTGGAAGGATAGATTAAAGGTCCAGAGGCTGAGTGAGGCAGTCTCTCATATTTTGCAGTTTATCAAACTGGAGCTCCTTACCATTTATAAGGTGGTTTGTCGTGTTTCATTATGTACATATTAGAATTGCACGGACCTTATCTCAGAGAGGAAAACAGATAATGATGATGGTTGTCTTTCTTGCATGATGTGTATTAATGAATCATCATAATCCTTTTTTTTTTCCTGTATGTTTATATTTATAAGTCGAACAACATTAAAGAAAGAGATTGCATTCCTCTATACTCACGTAAAAGGAAATAGTTAATACTTAAATCATATTTGCATCTTATTTTTGGTGCTGTATTACGTTCTTCTGAATGTTAATAATCTCCATCGCGACTTTCTTTGTTGTTAAATCTTAGATTCATGATGAGAAGAAATACGATTTTGATATACCGAGTAAGGTATTGGGCTTTGTTAATATTGTGGTTACTGTTTGGTCAACTATGGATCTGTAACTTTCATTAGAACTGCAAATGAATCCAAGATATGTAGTTAAATTACATAAATTTGAGCATCTAAAACTTCTGAACTGATTCCACCGTATTTTTTAGTTGTGAGAGAATCATTCAATATTGCAAAATGTGTAGACTATGCATATTCTGGTTGTCTTTGTTTAGAACATATGCTTCCAGTGATCCCATTTTTTAGCATATTTTATATCAATATGCTGTATGATTGGTCAATTGGAACATGTACTACGACCTATTAAGCCTCTTGCCGCCAGTTTGCCATTGCTACTCACTGCAAGACTCAAAACCTAGAATAAACTAGGAGAATCTATGTATGTTTAACGGTGGACAGGAACCTATAACTCTATACTGATCTCTAGGAAATTATTATATGGGAAGTTGAACTTTAAAAGATTGTTGAATTTGGCTGGTGTATTTGCTTTTTCTTTCAGCAATCTCTACCTTCCTATTAGCCTTTACGAGAAGGTTTTGTCATCTGCTGCTTTTGTTAGGAACTCTCTGTACATATTCTTCCTTGTTGAAGTCAGAATAATGTTTTGAGAAGCCTGAAATTAAGTGGTTCAACTTCAAAACATCCTTATACAAATAGTACAGCATGAACAAATGGAGCCAAGGGCTGCCGAAATTACCAAATCTTATCAAACAATCTTAATGAATCAAAGAATCATAAACTGACATGCAAGCAGACAACAAACCAAACTTTTGCACACCCTTTATCATATACTTGGAATAAGGGAGAAGCAATTACTTGCTGCAGCCCTGGGGGAATTGGCTGAAATTGAATTCATAGCATGTTCTATAAACTTTCATTGTACCGTTGAAAGGACTAGAGTATCTGATTTATAAGTCCTCCAAGTTGGTGATATCTAAAATTACCCTATCTTCACTTCTTCTCCAAGAGAATGAGCTGTCACATATGCTTTTCTTGGATGGCAGGGTATCAAATGCAATGCTGCAACTTTTGGTGCTACCTGTTGTTTTGGACCCATCAGTATTTGGTGAAGTTAACCAGTTTGAGAGGCTAGCATCAACTGATATATCTTTGTAGGGGAGGTTTTGACTGATTATAATTTGGTGAGCAGTTGGATCTGAGCTTTGAACTGAAGGGTATTTATAGTTCTTCCTCTAGTGCAATATTCTCCTTCCTTCTGTGCTTAGAATGTGGTGCTGCTCTTGCTTTGATTTCTTTCCATTTAGTATTTTCAACTGGATTCAGTACAAAACATAGATTTTGGCTTCTGATCCTTGCATTTCCACAGTGACTTCAATTCTCCATCTGTTGAAGCACAAAGTTGCATTTTATTCTTGGCCTTGTCCTCATCCCATTAAACCAAAGAAGCTCCCTTTGCAGATTCCATGTTTAGAGAGTCAAATTGATCCAAGAACTCTTCTCTTCTTTGTTGACTTTGATCATCAACATCTTTGTCACAATTATCACTATCATCTCCATCATCTTCTACATCACTTTCCTCACATGTCATTTCATCATCTTCATCATAGCTTTCTCTACAGTTTTGGCATCTATAGTTGGCAGAATAAGAACCCATTTGCAATGAAGTTGAATCCCACTCAGAGAGAGAGGGTAAGCTCCCTTTTCCTGCTTCTGCTCCATTCTTTTCACTTTCTTTCTCTTCAACACTCGGTAAAACCTGATATGTAGTATTTTCTTCAGCTGGAATCGGCTCATAGGTCGGAACATTCAAGTTAAGGCTCACTTTCTTCTCGATTTTGAAACTCTCTCTCCTTTGGCTTATTACTGCAGTCAACAAGAATATCTGAGACTATAAAAGTACAAATTATGAGACTATAAACCAGCAACTGACCTCAGCTGAGAATTTGAGGAAATGGGGTTTTCTGGGATGTCCAGATTTGAAGAAATGTAGGAATCCAAGGGTTCATAGCCAACAAATTTCTGCTAGAAAACCATTAAACATCAAAAACAAAGCTATATATATATATATATATATATATATATATATTTGAAGTAGTGCAGCTGATACTTTTCAAGAAATGTTTTACAAGAAACAGAAAAGCTTCCTGAATCTCCGGGGAGAATCCTGTAGGCGAAGGAAACACCCCATTAGAAAATCTCTGGTGAAGTTTTGACAGACAGCAAAGGAATGTTGGGGTAGAGTCAGAAGGGATTCATGCTGAGAAAAATGGACTCTTTAATGTTACAAAAGCTCAAGGCTCAAAGCTTAAAGCACAATGAAAGAGAAATGAGATGTGGGTGATCTTAAAATCCATTTGACTCCAATGGTTTTCGAAAAATAAGAACGTTGGACAATGGATGTTTACTGATAATAGAAGGGGCCAAAGTTGAGGTGGGCGCACGAGGGTTCAATAATAAGAAAAAAAATGGGAGAAACAAGACTTTGGTCGTTCTTAGATCTGAAAATGCAGCTGTAGCTTGTCTTACTGTTTGCTTCCTTTTATCTTATGTTAATTAAGTAGTATGTTCCATTTCAGACATGACAAGTTTGTTCAGTTGTCTAATAACTAATAAAGAAGAAAATTGTGGAAAGAGAGATGGATGTCAGATATGGAAAAGCTGTTCTTTAGGCAGATGTCATAGAGGACAAACGAGGATAAGCTTAAGGAGTATCTCAGCCAATACGGTTTTTTTTTTTTTTTTTCAGACTATGCTGATCAGAGACAAGATCAGTACTACGAGGCCAGGAGGCTTTTTTTTAATTGTTTTTTTCAGACTCTTCCATTCTTGATCCTGTTGTCAAAGACAAACACACCATTGCTGGCAGAACGCTGAGCCATAGATCCAAATTTGATAGTAAAAAGGAAGGCTTTGATTAGATTTATGGACCGTTCTAACATATATGTTAATGGTTTCCTAGGTTGATGTGATGAGGGTCAGGCCATAATGGACCTGGCAACGGCTGACAGAGCTCGGAAACTTAATCTTGACTGATACCTGAACCAAAGATGAATTTCCTTAATTTGAATCGGATCGAAGATGCAATGGAAAGGTTTCTGCTCAGGGCATTTATGATTTGAATGGCTAGCAAGCTGAAGTCAAGTCAGCTCTTCTTAAAGATGACAATCCTTCTGGTGGTGCTGGGGATTAGCCCTCCTTACTCTAGAGTCTTCAAGGGGACAGTAACTTCCCTGCCTTGATTTTTATCCATTTTCAAAACTGTGTTAGTAAATTAAGCATATTTTGGTGAAGCTTATACAATTACTAAGCACAATGGGCTGATTCTAATATTGTTTTGAACAAAGACAAGAACAGCTTGGAACTCTGCCTTGAACTGATTTACCGAAGGGTATTGCTTGTTCTTGCTCTAGCACCACTATTTGCTTGCTTTGATTGCTTTCCAATGGCAACAATGCTGGCTTGTTAACATCCCTAATAGGGTGATTTTGAATTCAGGTTTAGGGATTAGGTTTTGGCTCTATTTATCTTTTAAGTAAAGGTTTTGCTAAAGAGATATTTTAAGATTATTATATAAAATAATTTATTTTAGTAACATATTGAAATTTATAAATCAATTGTTAATATTGATGGTCATTATATAATATAAAAAATAAAAAAATCATTATATAATATTGGACATTTGTTAGAAACTACATTCTTTAGAAATAATTTTCATATATAGATATAATTATTACATTCCATTCCTCATTCGATTAAATTATGATATCATGCACAACAAAATAATGAAATATCCTTGTATTTTTTTATAAAAAATAAAAAATATTTATGCTGTCAAAATATCAAAAGTTTTTATCACGTGCATCTTAATAAATATCTAAAATTCTAAAATTAAGCATGATTAGAGATAATAATTTTATTCATATATAATGAATAATTTGATTTTTTATTTAAATAAAAATGAAAATTATATTATAGATATATAGATAAAGATATATATAATTTTAAATTTTTATTGAGTATGAAAATGAAAATAAATAATATAAACTCGCTCTATACCTATTTTTAAAATATATATTTTTATATATTAGTAAATAAATTTTTATTAAATAATATAAATTATTATTTTAAATTAATTAAAATTAATATATTTTTATTGAAAAAATAATTAATATATATTTATAAAAATATCTATATATAAGATAAAAATAAAAAAATTTTAAAAAATAAAGTTTTATTTTTATTTCTTTTAAAAGTTATGAGTATAAAAATTAACTATATTCATTAAATATTCACCATGATGAAATGATAATAAATTTAAAATATTCATGAATATAAATATGAAAATAAATATAAAAAAAAATTTAAAAATGAAAATAAAAATACTTAATTTTTTTTTTATAACATACCTATTAACATTTTTTACCGATAACTCTTCCTTTAGAGACTGTTCCCAAAAAAATCAAATCACAAACCGTCCATTCTAATTTTTTTGTACGAAAAATTTTACGTAAATAAATTCATATAAAAAATTTGAGATAAATAAATTATTTAATTATTTAATTATAAAATATATTGATAATTTAAGCTTGAGTCCAAAATCTTTACCAATCTTCCATGCTAATTATCGAACAATCTCTACCGTCCAAACGGCATACTCCACCATCCCTCACACTTCCTTCCTTATTTATTCCTCCCCAGCTCTTCACCCGCAAGTTACTCGCTCTCAACCCCCAAACCACACCCACGAACCTTTTCTACTTCTTCTCCTGCAAATCCCTAAAAACCAAAAATCCCTACCAAAAAAAGATTAAAATCAAACGTTTTTTGTTAGATACTGAGGAATAAAAGGAGAGGAAAAAGAAGAAGAAGAGGTAAAATGGGGGGAGGAATGGATCCAGATCAGGGAAAGTTGTTCATTGGAGGGATATCATGGGAAACAGACGAGGATAAGCTAAGGGAATACTTTAGCCAATACAGCGACGTTTTGCAGACTGTTGTTATGAGAGATAAGGTTACGGGAAGACCTCGAGGGTTTGGATTCGTTATCTTCTCAGATCCTTCCGTTCTGGATTCTGTTCTTCAAGAAAAGCACACCATCGATGGTAGAACGGTCAGATTCCTTATGGGCTTTTTGGGTTTTTTCTTTTTATATTTCTTGGTAATGGGTTTTTTTATGGGTTATTGTTATCTGGATTTTTTTTCCATTTTAATGCTAATTTTAGGGGGGGAAATAACAAATTTCTGTATCAGTCAATATATGTCACAGTGAATTTCCTTTAAAAGCAAGTGTTTTGTAGCAATTTAATGTTATAAGTGATCTACCTTGAAAGTACAAACTTTATTTTCTTTCTCTAATATTGGTGATTTGCATGATTGCTAGATTTCATCCAAGTTTGTGAATTTGTCTGTATTCGAATTGCCCTTGTCTGGTGTTTAAGATTAGTTCCCTATTATAATGTATAATAACTGTTTCCCAGGTCGAGTTAAAGAGGGCGTTATCAAGAGAGGAGCAGCAAACTTCTGCTAGATCTGGAAATAGTAGTCAGGGTAGATATTCTGGAAGTGGTGGAACTATCAGGACCAAGAAGATTTTTGTTGGAGGGTTGCCTCCTACCTTAACTGAAGATGGATTTCGCCAATATTTTGAGGCTTATGGTCATGTAACCGATGTAGTAATCATGTATGACCAGAATACTCAACGGCCTCGTGGATTTGGTTTTATCTCCTTCGACACTGAAGATGCAGTTGATAGGGTTTTGCACAAGAATTTTCATGATTTGAATGGCAAGCAAGTTGAAGTGAAGCTGGCCCTTCCTAAAGATGCCAATCCAGGTGGGGTTGGCCGAACTATGAGTGGTGGTTCTGGTGGTGATGGAGGTTACCAGGGCTATGGTGCTTCTGGTGGGAACGCAAGTTCTTATGATTGTCCTATGGACTCCAATAGGTACATGCAGGCCCAGAGTACTGGAGGTGGCTTTACACCTTATGGCTCATCAGGATATGCACCTGGTTATGGTTATGGTCCTGGCAATAATGGTGTTGGTTATGGCAGTTATGGCAATTATGGTGGTGCGGGTTCTGGTTATGGTGCCCCTGCTGGTGATGCTTATGGAAATCCCAATGCTGGTTATGCAAGTGGCCCTCCTGGTGCCCCTAGAAGTTCATGGGGCACTCAAACTCCTTCTGGTTATGGTACTATGGGTTATGGGAATGCTGCTCCTTGGGATGCCCCTGGTGCTGGTGCTGTTACTGGTGGTCCAGGTTCAGCAGCTACCGGCCAATATCCCAATGGAGCTGCTGGATACAGAACTCAAGGTTACAGCTATGGTGGGTATGGTGGAAATGATGGATCTTATGGGAATGGTGAGTATGGGGTTGTTGGTGGTCGTTCTGGTGGTACTCCAAATAGTAATGCTGCGGCTGCAGGTGGAGGAGATAGACAAGGGAGTGGTGGTGGCTACATGGGAGGTGGATACGGTGATGCAAATGGAAGTTCAGGGTATGGAAATGCATCATGGAGGTCTGATTCATCACAAGGTTCTGGAAATTATTGGGGCACCCGGGCAAATGGTGCTCATGGTGGACAAGTCGGTTATGGTGGTGGGTACAGTGGTGCTCAGGGCTGACAACCTCAACAGTGATTCAATTACTTGAAGGATAAATTGCTTAATCTCAACCACTTCTGCGGATAACCTTCTCTTTGCTCTTGTGATTGTGATGGTTTCTTATTCCCAGCAGCAACAGGAGAGGCTCAAGTTGGATGTCAAGTCACTTTGGGACTGGTTGGATTGCTTGAATCCTAGTAGTTTGCATTATCTTTTTTTTCTAGTCACAATAAGTAGTTTTGGCATAATAGATGCCTTCCTTAAGTTTTGCTGTTGAGTCATGAATGTAGTTTAAATTTTGCTTGCTTTATATGTGTTTACTTGCTGCTGTGGTACTTTTCTTATCTATGATAGTGTGTAATCTATATTAGTTTATCTAACTTCTATTTGTGCTGTCTGGCTGTTTTTAAGTATTTTATTGTTATTTATATCTAGGAAATTTGATGATAGATAACTATGCTTGATTTGGTATGACGAGTAGGGTACTGGAGATGTACCAAGGATTTTTACTGATAGCAGTGGAGCTATGGGCCACTTGGATGATCACTGCGTAATGGTAGCTTAGTGGTAGTTGACACTTGAGGATGGCATAATCATTTCCCTGTATTTGCCCTCGTGTTGTACAGGAGGAGAGATGCTCAAGAGTTCAAAGGTGGGTCAAGTGTCCACTTATCGTCATTGCTGAACCTGTACTTCGTGGTGGGGGTTATTCAGTGTGGGGTTTGTTCTCCAGAGGACTTGGCTCAGTTGAAATTTTGAATTAACATGAAAGAGGGAGGCCCTTCCCCATCCAGGTGCGGCCAACACTGCAAATTCTTCGCTTTTGAATTCAAAAATTTTCCTGATCTGCATTCAGGTTTCTATGGGGATTTATTCAGCATGCAATTGAATTTGTGAATCTAACAGTCTGGGGTACGTTGACTCAAAACTCTTAGCTGTGTAGCAGATCAAGATTACATTATTAACTAATTATTTAGCATGCTTTTTGATTCTTTGGAATAGATCTTACAGTGTGAGTTTTTATTAGTAGAGCATTAGAAAAGCGTGTCCTTAAAGGTTCCCATTAGTTTTGGAATGAATTATTTGAAATTTGCCAAACATTTATTGCTGCTGGGACCTTTTCGCCCCTCTTGCAGGCAAATAGGTTGAGCTCTTCTGAATAGTGTTGGTAGTAACCTCGTATTATTCATTATTTGATTTTTATTATAAATAGTAAACGTGATGGCCTAGGCACGATTTTAGGTAGCATCTGTCTGATATCATGATTTGAGACCCCAAAACATTTTACTCTTATTCCATTTTAATTTTTAGGCAACAAACTAATAATTCAGTGGAAGGCCAGCCGAGGTGTTGGCTTTTAGTAGTTTGAGTGTCAACCTAGGCTGTTGCATTGAGTTTAGTTTGGTGGAACTGTTCTTTTCTGTTCAAAATCACTTCAATTTCATTCATCACAGTGTTTGATAGTAATTTATTCCGATATTTTCCACATGCTTCATATACTGCATTTGCAGTTCTTCAATTAACACGTATGGAGGGGAAAAAAAAGGATGTAGAACTAATAGAAAGTAATTGTGAGATAGAACATTGTGTTAACAACAGTGGTCTTTTTCCAGAGTCTGGATGCAGCAGCCATGATGGATGTTATCCTGTTCAGGGTACGCAGGTATCCACCAGGGAAGATACATATTCGTTTATGAAGTCTTAACTTTGCGTGTGCTCGTTGAAACGCTCCTCTGGTATTGATATGAACTGGGGAAATGTATATCAATCTTTGCCATTAGCAGTATATTAGTGTTATACAATTTGGCCAAATACTGTAAACGTAGGCAGTGGCTGCAGCACCAACAATGCGCAGCACTGAAACTACTATAATTTGACACAAGTTGCTCCGTCATCAGCCGATACTGACTCACAGCAACTGAAAAACTCTTCAACAAAGATGTTCTATCATGAAGGTAATAGAAATTAAAACATTCAACTTAAACATATTAGGTACTCAGGTTTTTTGTTGGGTAGGTGATCGTGGAAAGACAATTCTTCAAGCTTTAATGGTTTTGTATATTATTATATAAACTTTTGGGGTGCAGGATTTCAAACTAATCAAGAACTTTTAGAAACAATGAAAATTGCATCCAAGCATTTGATTCAATAGGTGCTGCATAATCTTCATAGTTGAATGAAATTGAACTTGTAGTGATCAGTTTCAGCAAATTTAATGCATAGTTACCAATACTGATACAAGCACAAACTGGTTATGTTAGATAAATGTAAGAAAATAACAAAAAAAAAGAAAACGAAAAGGAAGTCACTCAGTCTTTCTTTTTTCTTACTTCAAATATTTCAATAATTTATTCCTCTACCAATGGATCGTTTTTTACTTGAAGTATTCGAATTTTAATCATTAAAATTAAAAATTCAGTCCTCTACCAATGGGCGAAGCGGCTGTTGGTGACCCAGTTGATTTGCTTTGAATGCTACAATATCTCCTTTTAGGAGAAAAGAATTAAGATGCCGAAGGGAACCCTTTGTATGGATTGCCGAGTGCAGCTACATTTCCAGGGCGTGAAAATACAATCTACAAATGTAAGGCAATTAGCTCAATTATTTACATTTTCTGATGATATTAGATGGCATAACAAATCATAATTTCCAATGAATGCATGGTATCAATGTACGTCTATGTAGAAAACATATGTTAATTCGAAATTTAATTTAATTAGTTTATACATTTACTTTTAAAAAGATCCAATAAGTTTAAAATTTAAATTTTAATATTTCTAATCTTCTATGCTGTATCCTTTGTGCTAGAAACAGAAACTCACCTGGTAATTTCCAAGAGTGTTCGACTTGAAACCCGCTGCACAATAATCAAAATAATATTCCCATGTTCGAATGAACTTCTCGTTGAATTCCAAGGCAAGGATTTTGCTAACAACAACAGAATCAAAATGCAAAATCTCATTAAGCTTCTGAAATCATGTTTTTACTAGAAACAAAATTTAGAACAGACCAAGTCTAAATTTCAGGATTTCTCTTATTTGTAGCATACAGATGCAATGGCATACCTCTGCTTCTCCAAAAAATTCTTTCTCCAATGTCTGAGTGTTTGGTAGTAATGAAGCCCTATGTTTTCCGCATGCTCCACGCTACAATTTTTACAACTTCCTTTGTTTTGAGGATGACATAAACATTAAATGGCTATCTACAGAATTCACAAAGGAATAATGCATTATACCAGAGCCTGGATGTAGCACTTATGGCTGATGCTATTCTAGTCAATGAAGGGAGGCATCCACCAGGGAAGATGTATTCCTTGATAAAATCTGAACTTCGTCTGTACTCATCATAGCGTTCTTCTGGTATTGATATGAACTGTAGAAACATGAGCCACACCAGGCGTTAGAAAAAAAAAAGTGTTTAATAATAAATGTTCTAGTAATTATAATGGCTAAATACTGAAAATGTAAGACTCAAATTCTTTTGTTTCTTCTCTAATTGTAATTACCTGTAAAACAAGAAGTCCATCTTCTGCCAACACTGATTCACAGCAACCGAAGAACTCCTCCATGTATTCATGGCCAACAGCTTCTATCATCTCACTGGAAATGGCCATATCCAATTATGGTCTTTGTTTTGGTATATAATGGTAAAATTGGTGGTAAAGACTAATGAAACTTACCAAGATATTATTCTGTCGTACTTGTGTGTGCTGGGCAATTGCCTATAGTCACTGAGCTGAAATCTTATATTGTCCTGACAGTTGAGTTAAACATTCTGAATTTGAATCCAAGAAAGCTAATTTTCAGAATTATGACATTCTAGAAAATGCAGAGATACTGATGGCTAAGAACCCTTGAAGGTCGTCTGATGCAATTGCCAGAGCCATGCATAACTCAAAATGCTGCCAAAGCTGATGCTCACAAAATTTACCACTAAACCCAAGTCTATTTGCCAATTAAGAACATAGTCAGAAACCATAATATTTATTATAACTCTGTGGGATTGGAAAAAAAAAAGACTGCATTTTGATTAATATAGTAAGCAAGACGACTATGTTGCAAAGAAAATAAGTCAGGATGTGTTCCTGGCCTTCTCTATAATACCAGATCATTTGTAGCTTATCCGGTAGATACCTGAAGTCCAGCTTCCTTCACTCTTGCTTCTGCAAATTTTAGTTGCTCCTCAGATAAAGTAATGCCGGTGTATTTGCATCCAGTTCGTTTGACAACCTCAATAGCTAAGCTTCCCCAACCACATCCAATCTCGAGAATTTCATGCTTACTATCAATTCTTGCCTGGAACAATTGAAAAGGAAAACTTGATAAAGGATAGGGAATGGTTAGAAAGTCGAAAATACAATGACAAATTATTACTGACAGGACTTACTTTTTCAATCAGAAGAGAGATCTTTCTTTGTTGTGCATCTTTCAAATCTTCATCTTCTGTCTATAATCATATAAAATAACCAGTTACCAAGAATCTTATGCCAAGTAATAAAGTTTTCATCGTACTCATTGACAGTGAGTCTAACCTTAAATACTGCACAGGAGTATGTCATAGTTTCATCCAAGAATAGAGAAAAAAGGTCATTACTCTAGGAACATAAAACCAGAAAACAATTGTAAGCATTAGAATTTACTGGTCATAGCCTCATACCAGAAACCAGTAAGCAATTTACTTCTTTTGGTGTTTCATTTCTGAACTTTTTACAAAGACTTTTGTAGCAATAGAATTTATTGGTTCATAGCCTCATACCAGGTCATAATGACGAGAAATGTTCCTACGAGCTTGTGTAAGCGTATTTTGCCTTAAGGCATGCTTGAAGAAATTCTTTGCTGATGTTAAACCAGCTGTAAACAACAAAGGTGTCCACCAACCCCTAAACCAAAAGAGTTAGGTACTCAATCAAATCGAATTTATTCGAAGAAGAATATACAGATACGTTATTCATGTGGTTTACAAGTAACAGTGTACCTTTTCTTACTCAGTTTTGAGTTGGAAGAAATGAAATCTCTGTTGGCAATGAGAATCTGCAGTTAACAACGAAAATTTTAAGTCAATACCAGTAGGTATAACTCATTGCTACTATTTTGTCAATTTTCTTACCATGATGAGATTTAAAAGACCATCATTTTTATCAACAAAAGAAAAATCTTCGTTGATATATGCATCTGCAAGGCCTAAATCTGCCTCTGTCAGAACCTGACAAAGCAACTTTAGTTTAGTTCACATCAATTGGTGAAATATCATGCATGATTGATTTTCCATGCTATTTTGATATAATAAGTATAATCATTCCATGCTATTTTCCATGAATGATTGATTTCAAAGTACTTACCTTCCAATAAAAATGTGGATTGTGAACTCTAATCACAGTTTTTAGAGAACATTTGTTGCTAGTTCCTTCAAAGGTAAACATTGTGCCACCTTCCTCCAATAAACTGTTCATGGAAAAAGTACAAGTTTTTAATTACGACTATAAACTCACAAAGTGAAGTTCGTGGTTGAATGAATCAACCACCTAAAGTGCGCTGGAAAAATCCAAGAGCTATTTCATTTACTCAAATAAAAGAAAGCCCAAACATAGATAGCATGTTCATATTGAATGAAGAGATTTGATCCCTTTAGGCAGTTCAAACCATGCACATTCGGTTTATTTATTCAGATTGGGGTACTGAAAAAGATAGTCATAAAGACCAATGACAAGATAAATGCCTCACAAATAGCAAGAAATGAATATATTTTTCCGCAATGTATGGTACAGCTTCAGGTGAAACAGTTTGCAGCATTACTAGCTGATAGTTTTCAATGGCTTTTCAATCTAAAAGTCCTTGAACACTGAAAATATTGCATACGACGAATTTGGACAACATATGAAGCATATCGCCCCTTAAATCTAAGGTGAAACCCTGGATTGACCATCAAAGCACAGAATGATCTTATAATTCAACAAGTACACGTACATTAGAACAGATAACAACCGGCAGAAGTGAAAAGACAGAATGCGTACGACATTTTAAGAACTCACATCACACAGCCAGTTGATATGAAATGACTGAGGAATCTAGTAACAAAAAGGCGTGCCCCTGTTTCCACCAGAGAAGGTACCATATGCTTTGGATTGCTCAGAACAGAACATCCTTTCCCCAGCACACCATTTGCAGCAATCATCCCAGCCTGAAAAGAAGTGAACCTCATTTGTGAACTGCATTATAATAAATAAATTATTTTGAAAAAGGTAAAACCCTTTAGTGAAAAATATATTAGGAAAACATTCTAATCATACGGGATATCAAAATGCATTAGTTTGATAACATGGTATGATAAGAAATAATTGCAATACATCCTGAAAAGAAGCAAAATTTACAGCTAACCAAGTTATAAAAAGATATGATTAAAAGTAATCCATACCTTTAATCCATCTTCATGGAAGCCATAGCCTGAAAGGAAAGTTAGTTAAGTATGATATATTACTGAGAGCAAAGTTTCCTAGCCTCAGCCAAAAGCTACTATACAGAAAAGTCCATACACAGAAAATAGTTACCGTATACATCTTTTGCTTGAAGCCATGCATCAAATCACCATATGATATCTCTCAGAGACAAAAACAATAAAAACGTATGATTATCATAAATATTTCTAATTTTCCTAGATGCCAGACAATCAACAAATTAAAAGACTATGCATTGCTACCTGCTAACAAAGATACTTTTAGTTACAATTTACACCTGGCAGAAACATATTTGTCTACATTCACCTTTTTTAGACCAAAGTTGCAAATTCACATTTATTTTAGCTTGGATGTATGATCTGCATATATAAATATGACTGATGAAAAGGAAGTTTGAAAAATAAAATGTGATTAACAAAACAAAGACAGCCTGCAGAGGCTCTTTTATAACCGAATCTGTGCTCACCCTGGTATGCTCCACAGAACCAAATTCCCCTCTTCCCCTGAATATTATAAAGCTCAAGTGAAGCTCTTGTTGCAGCAACAGATGGTACTGAATGGCCTGTTCTCCACTTAAGTAAGGTATGCTTTGGTGTATAATCCGGATTGAGAGTTACAAGAAAAGGTAGGCCTGTTTCTCCAAGATTCTGCAGGTTCATATATACAGTGCAGACAATCTTAGACCATTTAAAAGGTATAGGAATATTCCAAGATTTATGAGTACTTAACATGCATGGCGAAAAGTATTCAAGTGTTCAACGTTACATATTCTTATTTCAAAGCCTCA